ATCGCACCCTGCCCATATATGATTTCTAAACTGATTAAATGATGCTCCCATTATGCTTTGCACGCTTAGAGTTTAAGATTTAGAGTTTGAAAAGGACAACCTTTTTCGAATTGGCTGTGTATATCTCCAACTGAATTAAATTGTCAAGTATTCTGAAATCAATATTTGACACTGTTAAAAGGTGGTTTATTCATGACCTTTACATTTTCTCCAATTTAGGGACGGGTCATTATTTATGGTGGGGGGTGGCACCGAAGAGAAATGTTTTTCGTGGCAAAAATTTTGCTGACCCAACCATTGAAAAAGTAAAAAATTTGATTACCCAACCTCAAGTATCAATTAAAAAATAAATACCCACCCCTGGCCAAAAACTTTACAAAAAGATACCATTCAGTTGTCACACATGTTCTTTACCACTTCTGTGACATGAGTTTGATAACGGATTGTGAAATTTTCTGCAGTCTAAAGTTTCATGTTGTCTGCTGTACTTTTCTTTGGAGATACCATTTGTCTCCCAACAAATCGGAAAACAGTGATCAAGATAGTGACTCTGATTGATTCACATATTGTATTAATTGACTTATGACTGTTGACAGTGCTTTTTAGTCTCCAATATTTCAGTGAGTCGATCATGCTTTGGAAATGACAATAAATTTTATTACCTTAACCCAACCCTTGAGTTGTTTTGTTTTTCATTTACCCAAACTTTTACTCACTCAAAATTTTGTTTACCCAACCATTTTCTCTTCGATGCCACCCCCCGCCATACATAATGACCGGTCCCTTAGTAGTGCCTCCACTAATGCCGTTTCAAAAAAAAATTCAATTTTTCCCTGGGGGAACATGCCCCCGGATCGACCTAGAATTGTGCCACTCAAATTATTAGGTCCCTGCCCCCATGCAAATAAAATCCTGGCGGCATGATTCAGTGTTCTGTTTATGCAAAGTTGGTAAAAATCTGGTAATTTGGTATATTCTTCATAACCCTATGGCTTACCGTTTTCAGGTGAAGTATCATCTGCCGTGATACGAATCCTATTACAACGCCCAATATCGTCTAACGAAATACCTCCTATAAACATGTTTCTACAGATTCTACTGGAGAAAAAATGATTATAATTTTCCCGCCAATTCGCACGGGCTGTATGTACTTTCACTTTCTGGTTCGAATGTATTACTGGCTGACTTGCCATGGATATTTTAAAGAAATACTGACTTTAATGGTGTTTCGATATATTTTTACATCAAAGTCATTGAAAATCCATCAGTTTTGGCTAGCAATATTAATTCAATTAATGGTAATGACTTGTCTCTTAAATAATTTAAAAGGGTCAAGCTTTTATCCAGCATTATTTTCCAATTCATATAAAGTGTTGCCGTTTGGTTATTTTTGTGAAAACGAATACTTCAATTATAGTGCAATAATACGGCGCCATAACAATCTAAATTTACAGCAATTTATGCGCAAAATTGTTAAACAATGATCTATTTCTTTTCCGAACGCAATCCAAGATCTCCGCTTCATTGGATATTTTACACAGTATATGCGCTTAAATTATTATTTTGAAGTTGTGTTTTAATGGAAAACACATGTACTGACAGAGAATATAGCTGTTTAAATTTGCTGTAGAAACACATGCAGACTACAATTTTGCACGCTTGTCCCTGAACAGGTGTTTCACCGGATGTGTTGACTTTTAAAACACAATATTCTGTTTTCAATAGCGCTATAATTCAATTTTAAGCAATGGCAGAAGAATAGTAGCAATAAACTAATAAAGTCTGATTTGCAAGTTTAACTGTTGTCCTACAGTAAAACCAAGAACTAGCTACAAAGTCAACTATACCAAATATTCTAATACTGTCATAAATTTATTTCCTTATAGACTTGGTAAAAATATTCTTGCATTTAAATTGGACAGCCATTGCATGGGAGAAAGTTTTAGAACAGCAAAATCCAAGGGTGGGTAGTAGCGAAGTAGTTGTAGTTCGCTACTGTAGCGAACTACAATTTTCTAGTAGCCAGTATAGTTTTTGACTACTTTTTTAAAACAGTAGCTGTAGTTAATATAGCGAACTACATTTTGCCTAAAAGTAGCCAAGTAGTTGACTACTTTTCAAACAGCGAATCGCTATTCGCTACTTTTTAAAATTGTTAGCAACTTGATGGAATACTAGGATGATATTGAGACACGGTTAGTAAAGGTTAGTTTAGGTTCCCTCCTGTAGTAAAACTGGACAGAAAAGCAGAGACTCTTATTGGACCTCTAGAGAGTCCAGCATCAATCAGAGCTGGCTTACACTATAAAAGTTTCTGTGGTCACAGCAGGAATTCTGCATCGTTAAATTCTATCTTTTGAAGAATTTGTAAGAAATGTTTGAGGGACTGATTCAGTGTTATTAAACAACGAGTCAGTTTCGTCAAACGTTTCTTACAAATCCTTCAAAACTTAGAATTTGCCCATGAAAACCTACTGTGATCACATAAACTAGTGACAGTACGCTAAATAACGCCATGAAAATCATCTCTCCTGCAAAATTTTAGGAATGCGTTCAAGCAACTGTTTTCGCACACTCATTAAAGAAACTCGCTGGGCTACTGCAGAGTTTGCTAGGCATTCACGCTGAATGCTCGAGGTTGATTAACGAACTTGTTTTGACAGCAAAACTGTGCAATTAAATAGCTCTTGGCCTTCCCATCACAAAGCACTAATTGTCAGCCCTTGAATATTTTATTCTCGCTAACCGCAAGTAATTCCAACACACTAACAGAATTACAGTATATAAGGACAGCTGCAGTTTCGCTATAAAAGTAATATCTTGCTCTGATTATAGAAATATAAGTAGAATTGCTTTCTCAATGCTTAAAAATTAGAACTAGCTATACATATCGATTCAGCTTTCCATTCTAAAGTGCAGAGTAGTATACCGAAATGAAGTAGTACCGAAATGTAGCGAATTTTCGGCTAGGGGGCTTTGAATAGACCTTTCCCCTTTTGAGTGAAATTGTGATCTAGACAGGTCTGGACAAAAATTTCATCACAGCTTGAAAGAGCATCACAAAATTTATAGTAATATTCCGAAGTTTCGTTACGAAATGTTGTAAAATGCGGATAATATAGCCTTGCGAAGTTTGCCGTTTTTCAGTCACTTTGTATTACAAATGCCAAATAGGAAATTGATAATCAGTCTGATCATCTGATTATCAATTTCCCGTTTGTATAATGCAAAATGACTGAAAAACGGCAAACTTCGCAAGGCTATATTATCCTCCTTTTACAACATTTCGTAACGAAACTTCGGAATGTTACTAATTTTGTGATATATCGCCTGGAGGCATTGGGGCCAATTTGAATCATGAACGAACATTCAATTTCAATGCAAACACGAAAAGTTCAACATAGCCTGCCTAGCGGCTCTGCAGGCTATATATCAACAAATAAATGCTAACAACGTTTCCCGCCAGTAGCTCCATGGTAGCCAATTAACATTTTGTCAAATTAAGATATTTATCTACAAATCTACAAATCTACAACAGTACAAGGAATTCTCGGCCAAAACCACCTGCCTACACAATGCTCAAGTATTTATCACCGATAAAAAGATACACACACAATAGAAAAATGATAAAATAACAATAAATGCAATGTCAAAGTTAAAGTACTTCGCTTTACAAGCCTTAAAATCCGTTTATTACTTTCATAATTCTTTCATAAAACAAACCCAAGGCCAAAACTCCACCTTTAGGAAATTTATTAACATAGACATATCCAACATGCCCGCCCTGTTTATTTACCATTAGCCAAAACTTAAACGTTATTCACTGGGCGTACATTTCTATTATTTGAGGACAACATACTATAATTCCATTTTTGATTCATGTTTCTTCATGCGGTACAGTTTGACTTATTATATATTGAGCGGCATAACGGTATTCTCAATCACTTTGACAACATTTTTCGCGGGGTAATTTACTGACAAAGATTAAATTTTAGCATGTAAATGCTTTTTAGTGACTTAACATTGAGACTTTTACAGTAAGCTACTAATAGTCAACCAAAGATTTTGCAGTAAGATATATACTACAAACTACGACTAATTACTTTGTTCAGCCATACAGTCTGTGTTAGATGAAAAATACGGTGTCTATATAATCTTAGTTATCATCAGGTGCAACGAACGTAATTTATACAAAATGAAAAGCTGTTTGTAGCAATTATGCAAAATTCGCCTCCAAAACATTTAAAACCTTTTAGCAAATTTGCCATTTTAAACCAAAACAATGGCACACTTTAACACCTTGCGTATAGTAATATCATTTCTGCACGCAAGATAACCGTAGAGATATATTCGTCAGAAATTACAGTAAATATTTGAATTAATTTTATTCCCAAGTGAAAATACTATAAACGATCTATAATTCGACATTATATGCAGCCACGCTATATAATATTTGAAGATAAGACATAAGCAAAAACGTTAAATAGCACGCACAAGGAAAATAAAGTAAAATTTATACATTTTTTACTAATGTTGCATACTTTCAAAAATCATTTCACATACCCGTTTTAAAATAGAGGTTGGCCATTCAAATGCAGAGTGCTTATTTCAGAAAAGCATTTAAACTTGATATAAATAGGCATATACAATTAATTTTCACATTCATCAATATATTTTAAGAACTTAGACACGCAGGGCTATATATATATATAGTCAGGCGGTCCACATTTCACTTTCAATTGTTGATATCAAAAACTTAAAGTCACGCATTTATTATATACTGGCAATTTCGGCCATTACAGCTTGGCCCATAATTTATAAAGCTATATGGCATTACATTGAAACGCATTGGCACATACCCCTTTCCAAACTCAAAGGCCAAGAATTTTGTAAAATGGTACAAAATAAAACTTGTTAATTTAAACGCATATAAATATAACATTTGAAGGTTCCTAGTCGCTATATATACTCACCGTAGCTTGCAGTGATAAAGTTCTAACGTGATGTAGCCAACCCCGTGCGCATAAAATAGCAAGCCCTGTGGTTGAACTGTTTTGAATCGTAGGCTGAGAGTATCCGACGTTCCAAATATCGATGTATTCGTTCCAAGTAGATCGAATTTGATGTATTCTGATCCGCGAACACTCACTTCGGCACAGTCCATGAAACAAAGACAACACAACAGTAAAGAAACGATAACACAATATCGAATCATTCTCAATTCTTGTGAACTTCGTGCACCAAATATACCCTCTCCAACGAGTCCAGTGTACTCTAAAATCTAAATATGCTTCGCTCTTTTCCAATTCAGTGGAGGAGATAGACTCATTAACCATATTAACCAATGACAGCTTAGTGGTCAATGATTAGCCAATCAAATTTTAACAATTAAATTTATTTAGACTTTGGAATACTTAATTTCCCATGTCATTAATAAATTGAAGTACTTTGTGCTCTCGACAAAGAACAAAGATCACGAAAGTTGAAACACACGTGTTTTAACGTTTAATTGTAGCTATATTTTGCCGCCAGTTGCAAGCTGGTGAAAGACTCATTTGCCGAGTACGATAGATACATAATATTTCGAAATGTAAATTAATATCATGTTGAGAAAAGATTGGCGAAGAAAAATCCAATTTTAATTGGACGGAAGAGTTGCAAAACAGAAGCGTAATTGAACGACGCAATTTATGCTACATAAAACCCAATAAGGCCATTTTTAACTTCAATCGTTCTGTATCAAAGCGTATTTCTTTGTTTCCTGAGCATTGAAGTGGAAACTAATAACTTCGACTCAAAAGAAAATATAAATTTATATCTTTATATCCTTTAATTCATCTTCAAGCGTTTCAACTCGAAACTTTCGAGACGTTCATAAGGACCCATAAGGCAATGTTACACGACGACGCAAATTTCAATGCAAACTTTATACCGAACACAATGTCGGGGCATAAAGAAATGCTATGTAGAGGCCGGAAATATTTAATAACACAGCGAACATTGACAGCATTTCACTTTTCTGATATTTTTCATTCTAATTCATTTGTTTCATGCCTGTATGGCATGTTACAATTTTGCCTCTGGTACTCCAAAACTGTCAAAAAAGTTACAACTACAGTGTCTCGATCGGATAAGTTTGACATAGAAACAGGCGTAAAACAACGATATATAAAATGATGTTAGAACAACATGTCAGCACATGCACTGCAAAAACGTAACAACAAAATTGGTCAAAACTTTGGCAGTTGCATGGCCAAGTTTTTAAAATGTAAAATTTCTATCACTTTTCAAGATACATCGAGAGAAATGTACCTAGCACAAGCATGTAACACATATCAAATGATGTATAACAACATGTCAGCACAAAATCGAAACTGCACAAAAAATGGCCAATACTCTGGCCAAGTTTTCAAAGTGTATAACATTTCTGTCACGTCTCTCCAAAATACAACGAGAGAAATGTACATTGTATACAAGCATGTAACACATAACAAAATGTTCCTCTCAACAACTGAATCGAATAATGTCGAACATGTCAGCAGACTGCTAAAGGCTTATCGCAGAGTACGAGTGTACGACTCGATGGAAGCAAAGGTAATCGGTTGCGCCATTAGTCCATTATGCAAAAAGGCAAAACGCACAAAAAAATTTTTACTCGCACGCTGCCTTGATATTAATGTCAAGACTGCTAAATTTCATTTTAAATTTGTTTAACGATTTCTTCAACTTGGTCGCCATGGTTCAAGATCGTTTTCACCCATACTTTAAAACACTGATAAAATACGTAATTGATACCTGACCGCCCCATTCAAAGACCACAGTTCACATCGAATGAGCCTATAGAGTTGTCCAACTCGGAGAGTTACACACGCGAAAATTTCACATCTTGTAGCAAGTCTGCCAGCAAGCCGTCATCAAGCCGTCATCAAGTTGTCAACATGAATGGAACAACTTTTTAACAGTTGTAACAACCTTGTTGATATTATCAGACTTGTTGCTAGGTTGTTCCAACAAGTCATGATAACAAGTCGTACAGTCATGATATAATATCGTTACAACCTTGTGTTGTCCATCTTGTTACATTCTTGTTATATCACGACTGTATCAGACTTGTTAGAACAAAGTTGTAACCAAGTCTGATAATGTCATCAAGCTGTTAAACAGCTTGTTCCAAATTTGTTACAACTGGGAAGAAGCTTTCGACAGCTTGTGAACAGACTTGTTTTTAATAGAAAGCAAATGAAATATGTCTATTGTCTTCAGTCATTTATTCAATTTATAACCATTTGCCATACAATTTTATAAGGTGTTTTGATGTCTATATGCCCCTAACCGAATATTGCAATTAAAATTTAGTATGCATGTGGAGAATTCGACAAAAATTGGTCTTAAACAACCATAAAACATGCATGATAAAAGCGTAATGTTTTCTGAAATGTTGTGAGTGGAACTAAATTGAATTATAGGCGTTCATGTAAATCAGTTCTAAACTGACCACTATTCGTATCTTTTGTGTAAAAAACTAAATCAATTAGAAAACAACATATCATGTCAGCTATCCCAATATTATTCACAGTTGGGAGGACACAGGGGGTCGAACCACAATGGTTTAAGTAAAAACGAAATTTAGTAAAAACTGGAGATCGCTAATGAATATTTACAAACAACTAACTGACCACCTAATTCAATGTTATTAAAACAGCAATTAAAAAAAGCATTTTGGTTTCTTAAAACGCCTATATATAACCAAGTTAATGATAGCATATAATTTTAAAGAATTTAAAAGTCGATATCAAGTAATACGTTCCCACCTTTCGACTAAAATGATTTTTCCACTGAAATTTTCTGGATATTTTCTGAAATAGCTGGATATTTTCTATGCAACAAGTTTTACCGAAAGACTAAAGGAATATTTTACATTCTTCAAACGTTCTATCGAAATTAAAGATGGGAACGAGTCCCACAAGTTGTTGGAAAATTTCAAAATTTAATTCCGGATTGAAGACTGAAATGTTTAAGTTTGACTTTCGATTTCAAAAATTAATGACCATTAATTCGGTGTTATTAAAACAGTGATTAAAAAACGCATTTTGGTTTCTCAAAGTGCTTATATGTAACTAGAAGGAGGACACGAGGCTGCCACAAGGTAATGAGAGCATCGATTTACAAAACTTAAAGATCGATGGCATATGCAAAGATCCCACCTTTCGTTAAAATTAAATTAAATTAACTTCCCTGTATTGACATTAGCCAGATTAGGAATCGGACAAAACAAACTTTTTCAAATACAGGATTGACCATCAATCGTTCGAATTTCACATTGCAATCATATCATATTCTATGAATTTCACAAAAGTTCCAAAACCCTCCCGATCCTTGAATTTGAATCGGTCGATTTTAATTTTCAGAAAGATCCGCCTATTATTTAAAATGAGAACTTTCTCGTTAAAGATGGACGCACCCTAATCTTTTTCAGGCAGTAAAACGACGTTAATTAATGAAGAAAATAGGTGAAGTAATCATTCTTCTAAAACACAAATTAACAAAACCATTAAAATTGGTGAATAAAATTCCACAAAGGTTTGAAAAAATTAATAGTGAAATTGTCAAATTTTCCGGTTGGAACATCTGATTTCATGTTTTAATATGGAGTATTATCAATCGTATTAATTTTCTTGTATACCGGTGGGTATGACGAAAACTTTATGATTGAGAAGAGACCAACTGAGCCAATTTCCTGAGCACAACTTGTCGCAGCGCAGGCGTTATATACGTCGAAAGCTTATAGGTTTGCCGTTCTATATGTACAGAGCGAGGACGGGTTTCACTGACTTAGGGGGGTGTTTAAGAGCCGAGCCTCACTTTAGCGAGATATTAATGTAATTTATACTAATAGTACACTATTTATAGCAGTGAGCCCGAGCTGTGGTTTGTTTTGACGAACGAGCCCGCCTCAAAAGTCTCGTGTAGACACGGGATGAAATCATCTCGGAAAAGCGAGCTAGCTTTTTCCGGCCGTCTGTAAAGCCGGTTTTCCTCTAGGCGGAATTTTGCGCGCGGAGCGGAATTTTTCTTTGTCTTGTGATTTCTCGGGTGGAACTAATTAGAAAAGACAAATAAAGATTCCGCTCCGCGCGCAAAATTCCGCCTAGTGGAAAACCGGCTTAATGGCATCTTTTGCGAATTTTTGAAGGTATTTTTCTTTGGTTCCTTCTGCACTATTTTTTCCCCTTTGCGCGCGAAATTTTTGTTTTTCCCACCCCTATCGATCATATTTCTCTAATGGTCCCTTAAATAAAAATAATGCAGGACTCACATCATTTTTGTTCTGATTCTACTTTGCATTTCCAGACACTGTGTTCTCGATTGTCCATAATTTTACATACCACTTGTTTCTATTACATAGAAATAATGGAAATAAAATTATAATCTACCCCCCCCCCCCCATAATCTCTAGTTTTTATAAAGTCTATGATCTATGTTTTTATGCGTGTCGTTATAAATTCGCCATATTGATTTTTGCCTGAATAGCTGGCAACGTTTTTGATGCATCGACCTAAAAAATATTAAGTGTCGCAGGTGTTATTAAGACACTTTTAAACTTACAACGTGAGCCTTTATTTTTAACAAAATAAAGGCTAAGTAAAGCACAACAAAAAAGCGCGCGAAATTTCGTGACTGAGCCTACCGATGCCACGCAATAATTCTCAGCGGACATGACCATTTCTCCGTGCCATTTCCGGGTAATCGTTCCATGTTTGCCAATATAGTAAACGTTAAACTGGATACCTCCATACACATATATACACACCCTAACCCTACCCCCTAACCTATATTGGTGCGCGAAACATGGAACGATAACCCATTTCCGGTCGTGTTGAAAAATCCGCCATTTTGTTACTAAAATATCATTCTAACTATGGTCTATATAATAGTCTCCTCCGCAAGTACTTGGAGTGGACTAGTTTTAGAAGACAACAACACACACAGGAAAAAATTCATTCAGGTTTTGCTACTGATATTTACTAGAATTTACCTACTTAAGCGAATTCGAGCTATGTTGATCAAATACAGTATTCTCATTTCTTTTCACTATCGTACACTTACACTATTACATCTGATGAGCAGTTAGGGGAATTTACAAATTGGTCAACAGTGCATCATTCACTAAGCCTTCCCGCTCTATGATAGCAGTCGAACTGCTCATTTTTTTTGTCTCGCTAAAAGTTTCGTCGCTTAAAGTTTCTACATGCGTGTGCCAGGACACCGACTACGCTCTCCACTCATTTGAGATGAACCAGCATCTTGGAATTATGGGAAATATCCCTTGATTTCACGATCTAAAAAAGTGCAGGAACCATACACGATACACGCTCCCCCCTGGAAGACACTGATCTCTTAGAGGCTGGATTGACCTGCATCAAACTCTGATCCTTTAATAAACTGGATAAACAAAGTGCTTTTATTGCTGTGAAACTAAGTACATTGAAAATTTTTCGACTAGTTATATTTTTCCATTTGCTAAGAATATGTGTCAGACTCGTGCATTGGGGTTCAGATACTATAGAATTGAATCCTTAACAGATTTTAACCAACGTTTGAGCATACGTGTTCAATAAGTGGTTAAAATGCAACTAAATGATCTAATATACAGTATCGAACATGAAAATATAAGGAATCTGCCGCGGCATTCAATCCAGTCAAAGAGATCAGTGACAGAATCATTCAGTGAGCGGATATCAGCAAAGACTAAAAGTTGTTGCCATTATAATTTTACATCAATGCTGACCAAATCGAATATTCGCACGCATTGAAAGAAACTTCATATTTATAGCCGATTCACTGAACATATTGAAAATATGTACAGTTTGAAAAAGTATTTTTGAAATGTTACGAAGAATGCACCGTTGCAAAAATTTCGACCTAACTACGTCTTAATCAACAATTTATTAACCGTAAATTTTACATTGTAAATTTTACAGTTTTAGAAGATTCTTTCAAGGATGCGAGCCTTAAAATTTCGATGGTATTCTTAGCTTAGTAATAAATATTCTCAAATGATAAACAAAATGGCAGAAAAGCCCCGAAACATTTCAATACGAGCTTGATATTTACAAGTAATTCACAACTTACATGCCTGGTTGTAATTGTTCTTGTTTACAAAAATATAGAATAAAGATAACGAAGAATTAATGCTTGGTTAGCTCTGTTCTATTCCATGCTTCCGCAAACTTAAAAATTGTGAACCAGGCATGTGATTTAGGGCCTTCCTTGGGCAATTTAGTATGTGGCTCTTGGCTCAATGTAGTTATTATGCCGAAGAGGGGAGGATGGGGAAAGGGTGCCTCATTCCAGGAAGTCCTGCTCGTGTAACGGTTCCTGCACTTCTGATAACTGACCTTACTATTTTAACTGACCAATCCGTTACCGCGAACGAATTAATCACCGCAATACTAGCGGTCAGTAAACTTTGTACAAAGCGCATGCGCAAATTGATGATCCAATCAAATTACAATATGCAACGGACGGGGGGTCTGATCAACCACGACGGCGACGAGGTAATTTTCAACCATTGAAGAGCTCGTCAGCAAATAAACGGTCGCAGATGGGCGTTATTATATAAATCTAATAATTATATTTACTTATTCACACGGGGTTCAAATATACGGAGATTTAGTCCACGCTATGACTGCAGCATCCAGTTAAATTCAGAGTTCAGCTGCAAGCCATTGCATGTGTACTAAATCTCCTATAGACACCTCAAGTCAGAGCAGTTCATATTGACGGAGATGCATTCTTTGTATAATGTCACGGCAGTCATTAAATACTCTTCTGATGTTCTCCGTATCCACAGCACATGTAAAATGAGGGTAGCAATAATGTTTGCCGTCACCGTTAGCCGTACTGATCCGCTACAAACGAACAATGAGGCAGAAATCATTATCAACAGTCAGAAACTACAGTTTCTTAGTTTCCTATGTTCTCAGAACTACAACACCCCCCCCCCCCCCCTCCCCCCACGCACCCCTGTTGACCAGAGCCTGGGGGGTGCCACCCTCCTCCTAAATCCACCACTGCCTAGTTTGTTTTGAATTTTAGCTTAACCTAGGGTTAAGCTAACCCAGCTTTGAACAACCGGCCCCTGTTGTATTTCTGCACGTCTGTTAATTTCAAAACGTCAGAGAAGAAAACTACTACTGATCCTGACAGGATTTCTGAAGAAATATTTTCATTTTTTTTTTAACAAGCTGTTTGCAAGTTAGCTGTGCGTTTTAGGTCAACCTAGGGTTAAACTAACCGGTTTTCGAACAACCGTCCCCTTGGGAATTATATACTAAATATCGGTGCATCCGATATTCCGAAGGGTCGATATCGATACCGACATTCCATTTTACTTCGAGATTCACAAATGACAATTGGACTGAAGGCAGATTTGCACAGCGCAACTTTTGCCTAAAACTGTCGCATGCAACCTGCTTACAAGTCAGTTGTACTGTGCGAATCAAACACTCAACTCACCTACGTCCTGTCACAATTGTCACAGAAAGAAAATATTATTTCAAGACCTGATGCGATGTACACAATTGGATAAAATAGTATTGTACTGACAGGGATCTTCCCCTAATTTGATTTTTAAATTTTAAGAATATTTTAAGGACTATATTCGTGGTTTAAGCATGTAATTTTAAGGGCCATTTGCCAGGAATTGTATGCAAAAGTGATAATGACAGGGTCATGAAGTTAAAACAGGAAATTAGGAAAATTTAAAAGGAAGTTTCTCTGCATTGGGATATTGTAACAGCCGATGGGAACATTTCAAATTCCCTCAAGGGATTTGCAAAGAGTTCTTCAAGGTATTAGGAAAGTTTCAAGTGAGTTAGAAACTCAAACGAGAAAGACTTCACATAGTTTACCTGTAAGAATCAACAACAATTAATTAAACAACTCGCACTTACTAGAAATTCGTCTCGGATAAAATATTTCGCTCTTGTTACTTGTTCGTCGTCATCAGGTTCCGCCGTTGCTGAAACAACGAAAAGTTGAAATGATTCATTTAAAAGATGTACAATATAAACAAGAACTTTCTTGCGAAGGTGCACACAGCACCGAACTAAGAAACGGTTGTTCAATGCTGTATTTGGCTAATAAGCAAAATCTGGGTCGGCCAACATCACATTGGATAGTGCATCCGTTGTGCATAAATGAAGCCAATGGTGGCCATCGTAGTATGACCACCATAAACCTACTGTCAGTACTGTTGTATTGCTGATATGTTAGAAGAAGTTCTAACAGTTTCTCGTTATTGTTGGGAAAGGACACGTATTGTCTGGATAGAAATTGATAAAAGGAGCCTGCCTTTCGTCTTAAAATTGCTGGTGAGTAACTAATGAGGTCACAAGAACATGGCCGAGTCTCATTATCTAGCGTTTAAAACGTTCCAGAACTCGTTATACAAGAGGTGTGGGAAGCTATATCTTTGAAGATACACAGGCAAAAACATTTGCTAAGCTAATATAAACATCTAACAATTCGATATGTAAATAATATGACGGATTTAAAAATCTCTTCCTATTATACATATTCGGGCTTCAAAAATTGGCTCATTAAATTCAAAAAGACACTCCATCATCCAGTCCGAGTTTTCAGGTCAGTGGTCATGTGCCGAGTGTGACATACTATAGATACCAGGTGATCTGACGGTGAGCAAAGGACTGGGACTAGCAACAGAATAGAAATCCAGTTTCGCACCTTTAATCACTTGTCACACCCTGATTCTTTTGTGAAACTGTTTGGAACTTTGTGTCTGTGTTTGTGTTTTCACAGGGAAACGAATAACTGGGACAAATTTGAGATAGAAATCTAATACCGTTAATGAGATATTGAGTCCTTTTAAACCAGAAATGGATTTCTATTTTACAACTAGTGCCAGACCTTTTCCTAGTTACGAGATCACCTGGTAGTTTGGCAAATATAACGGCAACGTGATCATCAACAATAGCATCTTTACTCTAAGACAAAGACGATTACAATTTGCATCCTTAAGTATTCTAGTACGCCGTAGTTGTTCGAACTGCTACGTTATTTCCATCATTTTCACGGCTCGTGAGCACGCCAACAGAGTAAAACGTTCAAGTCCTTTGTGCTGTTTCATGTGAATTATTGCTTACTATTGCAACTTCAGGGAATTTCAGGGTTGTTTAAAAGAAAGATGAGTGCTTTTAAAAGTTTAGTAATGTATGTTTTCGCTCAAATACAAAAGTGTAAGTAATTTTGTTTTCTGCCGTCACAGTTGTTGGTACCGTTGATAGTACCGTTGTTGGCACCTCATGTAACGATTGACAGGGAACTATTTTGTTACTCACAAAGCGAAGAACTTTGTCCATTTTCTATACACTGTCGACAAATTCTTATCCAACTAAATTGGTCAATTATTAAAGAAATACATCGCAAACTTACCATCTGGAGGTGTTCTGTATCTAGCGAAATCTGGAAAATAGTCTTCAATTTTTGATTTGCCTGCTCGTACTTTATCGCGCAACAGGTCTTGCTTGTTTAGAAATAAGATTACTGAAATTGTTTTTAACCATCTAGAAATATAAATGAAACTAATATTGGTCAGAAAATGACTACCACTCTTGTAATCTGGACTTGGAAATAGCGATACGAAAAATGCTGCCTGGTGCAAATGGAGTTGGTAGAAATCAAAGAACACGTTGTTGTTTCGAATGAAATTTGAATAAAACATTCACGAATGAGTTTTCTTTTTTCAAATTTCCATAGCCTGAAAACCAGGCCATTTTCCCTTCCTTAAATGCGGGTGGATGGGCAGTGGCAAGCTAGCCATGGCAACTGGTCATGCTATGCAAATAGACCTGCATCTTAATGTTAAAAACAATCAGTGACGTGCACTAGGAAGGGGGGGGGGGCGAGTCCCCCCCCCCCTAGTGCCCACAAAATATGTTCTCAGAATGCTACAAATGCCATTTTTTTCTCGTAAAGTGTCCGCCACTGAAAACAATGTACAATTCTAAAGGTTTGAATGATGCAAATCATTAAAAATTTGCATAGAATGACCATTTGCTAAATAGTGCTACATTTAGTGTTAAATAGGTACTGCTACGGTTAATGTCATATTTAGCGGTTGTAAAAGTTGTATTATGTGAAATTGAAGTTTACCCTGGGACATTTTGATTGGATACTACAAATATATTTTGGTTGGAGAACGACCAGATCAAGGTTTGTGTCAGGGCGGATGTTTAGTTCAGGTCCTAAGGACGGACGTTATTTGAGATCTTTGAAAACTCACTCGTGCTTGTTGTACCAAAACTGCAAGGGCCTTGGTTAAAACCTGCTGTTTTAGTTAATGTACTTCTGCACGTGTTTATTTCAAAACGTGAAGGAAGAAAACTCCTACTGATCCAAACAGAATTTCTGAAGAAATATTTCCAAATGTATAGACAAACTCTTGGGAATGTACTCAGGTGAATAAGATGCTTGTGTGATGTTACTCAGAGTAACATCACACAAGCATCTTATTCTTATGTGTGGATATACACTCAGAGTAACATCACACAAGCAAACTCTTGGGAAGTTTGCTTTGAATTTTGGGTAGCCTAAGGTTAAGCTTATTGATTTTCGAACAACCGATCCCAAGGAAAAGACATGTCTGATGCATATTGCTTGTTATTGATAAACACGAAAATATTTCTATTTCTGGATTGACTCCGATTGAGATTGGTTGTCTCCTATTCAATTAGCCAAAAAACGGGTACGGAAAAATACATGGCGCCGGCGTCATAACATCGGGGCACTTTTGATGCTTCGTATATCAAGCAGAAACAACTCCACGAGGGAACAGGTCCCCTGAATATCCAGCTTTTTATTATTAAAAATTTATCATGGTATAACTACCTGTTATTCCAAATACTTTTGAACAGTTCCAACGATTCTTTTAATCGATTCTACGAAATAAAAAATATTCATTTGTTGACCTTTACAAGCATGGTACTACCTCAGGTTATTGCAAGGTTTCACTAAGAGTTACGGCCCATGGTGATTAACTTCAAAAATCTTCGACAGTGAATTAAGAAACGAGTAAATTATACTGCATTTCTCATTTGTTTGGCTATCACCTTTCCCAAGGTCTATCAAGATATGGTCTATAAGCCAGGCAAACTTCAAAGCTCACCGTGCACAAATCCTTTGTCTTAACTTGATTAAATATTATTCATCGTGGTTACACGTTTCATCTAACATATAACAAACACTTCTGTTTAGTTTCCAGACTATCGATAATATCTTGATAGACTATGCTTTCGCACAGTCCCAAACATAACACGGCCACCGGTATATAAGAGAAGTGATGGAATCCGGTGATGGTTTTGTGCATTTTGTACAAATTAATGGACATCAAGGGTTATCGATTTCTTGAGTCAAACCAAACTTAGCATGCTGCAGCAGCTAAACTCAGCACGGCTCTGTCATTTTGTATTTGTTGTCATTTTCAGTTCTCTTTTATTAAGAATCAATTGCACCCTTTTTAATCATGGTACTTGGACCTGCATTGGGCGGTCACCCTGTATTAAGTGGTAACTTGCGAAACCCCCGAGGGTTATCTCTTAATATACAGGTTCGACTGTACAATTTGCCACATGTGAACTATTCATAGAAAACTTGTTTGTTTTTATTTCAATTTTCTGTGCCATTCCTACCTGACTTGGATCTTCCCTCAATACGAGATTGTAACTACTGCACGCCACCACATAAATAATTGCCGTGACATCTGGGAAAAACAAAAACATCGTCAAGTTCTTTTGTTTTGTTATGGGTTTATTGTATTCTGTGGTGGTTTTTGCAACAATTTTCGTCGCTTGCATTATATTACTATGCATGCGAGTTATCTGAAAATATGAATTAGGCGATAATGGGGCACATAAAACATAGATTAAGCCTACAATTCTGGTCAAAAATCCTCGGCACACTTAAGGCCATGTTACATGGTGCAATTTTTCTTGCAACTTGCAATGCATTTCTACTCTTGAGAGATGTAAAATTGCCAAATACGAGTCTTCATTACACTCCGCTGATGCTTTCTCAACATATCGAAAATTCTTCACTGATTTCACTAACTAACATCTCTCAAGAGTAGAATTGCATTGCAAGTTGCAAGAAAAATTGCACCGTGTAACATGGCCTTTAGTAAAAATAGCAACTTTCCGTGCCAGATTTCGTATTACATATATGAGCATTGTATTCACAACTTAATGTCCAGACCCCCCCCCCCCCCCCCCCCT